GTCAACGTCAGAATAAAATTGACGGTAAATCCATCCCACGTAATCACTTAATCAGAATGCAACGTCGTTTAACGTCTGGCATACTCACGTGTGGCATCCTCTGTGCACCAGTTCTGACAATTTGCTACCCTTTCCAGAGTAAAATATACCTCATCTCTCTATTTCTATGACCTTTGTATTTGAATGCCTCATTTCATAAGCAATGATTCTCATTTCATAAGAAATTAGTAAATAATTATGCGCATCTTTGTTTCCGCTCTTGCACAATATAGGTTTATAGAAGTACCGCTACAAAATTGTACTTAGCATCCTCAAAGTGGAGTTCAGCGAAATGTATGCACACAATGTTGATTGCTCAAGACCTAATGATAAAATATTGATAATAGGAAGCTCTATTAGTAGTAATATCACCACGTTTTCAACAATTACTTGCGGACGGACGCTTATATCCTTCTTTCAGCCAAAACGAAATCTTCAATCCCTTGAAATTTATTCCGCGTATAATTTTATTCAAGTATATTTATCATTGGCTTTCCTTCTTCCAAATTTGTAGTTTAATTGAAATTACTTATGCATGTACAAGTAGCTGAGAAACTCCCCTCCGGATTTGTGAATAATTTGGCTGCAAGGTAAGTCTTCATTATGCAGCATATTTTGGCAAAAGTAATTATTTTGTTTGCAAATGACATCCATTAAACTAACTTTTAAATTAAAGTCAGAATGGAAACATCAAGTTCTTAACGGCAGAAAAACCTTAAGGCAAGTTAGAATCATGATCTCATGAACTGAATTCGGCTCTCAGAAAGAGCTCCAGTAGCTTACAAAAAGCAGTTTTTTTAATCGGATTATTACGCTTTTTGTGAATCATTCTTTTATAACTTTACAAATAATGATACCATTTTTAGAAGCAGCAAAAACTTTAAACTTCTAGTTAAAAATATGTCTAAAAGGAAGTGCAATTTATTAAACTTGGAACTGAACTTAGTTTTAAAAATGTGATTAAGCTTAGAATGCATATTTTCAACAGATGTAGAAATGTGCATCAAACTGTAGACAACTGCCTGCTTTAAGTTCGTAAATAAAGGAAATGTGTACCTAGGAAAGAATAAAAGAAGTACTTAATTCTTGGCCTTATAAATGTGGATGCTAATTAACAAATTTTTATATTGATCAGTTTATCTTAAGAAATGAGCTGTTATATATAGTTAGACTGATTATGAATATTATCTCTCCTAACATGCCAATATTTATATTCATGATTGATTAAAAATATAGCCGCTGAGTTCTTTTATTCGTATAATTTAATGTGAAGGTAGAAATTATTTATTTTAGACCTATATAGCGGCATAAATGACAACTGATAATTTCAAAAAATAGAAAGTTGAATAAACTTTTTTATTTCACAAGAACAACGGATGAGATAACCAGTTAATAAAACTCAATCCGTTGTCTCACTTCTGTTATGACAGACGGTCTCCAACTGAAAATGCTGCGAATACAGTGCTTCGATTAAGTGGCAATACCCATTCCTTGGAAATGGTAGTTCTAAACTCTGATCAGCTGTTTGGATAGCACATGCAAAAGCTTAATATACATACGCCTCTTACGGAAGAAGAGTGACAACAATATAAAGGGTGATACAGCAATATACAGGGTACACTTAAGCTCGTACCAAGTTAAGGTAAGTGTAGGTTACTGAAAGACGATTCGAAACAGCTTAGTAATGTAGAGATGGAAACCTGCTAATACGGAGAGAAGTGAACACAAGAAATGAAAGAGAGAGTGGTGTGTATAGAAATTAATCAGCAAATCGCTACAGTTGCGATATTCAGAGGTCCGAGTAACTGTTCCAAGTTACAGGTAGAAGTGCGTTGGACACCAGGAATTCACCATTAGTCATACAGATATAGATTCGCCGCATTAATTGTACAGTTAGTCCCAAATTTTGGTTGGTTCAAGGGCTTCCCAGTCCTCTTCCTCTAGCACCAACCTCGAGGGGTGGGGTGGCGCCTGGGAATCGGGCACGCGGATCCTGGCGCTGGAGTCCTGGCTCTTGTGAGCCCTCTGATGGGTGCCGTTTCTCTTAACGTAGGATAGGCTCGGTGATATCATCAATGGTGCTATAGAGGAGTTACCCTAGCATCATATTATGTTATTTTGCCAGCAACCTCTCGAGAGGGCATTCGGATCTCCGGATATTTTGAGTGCCTTCTTGCCGCACAGAAACTATACGTTTACAAACATCCCTATCTTTTCCCAACTTTGAACTCGGAACCATGGTTATGGCAGTCAGCAGATGTCGCGCGCTAATTATTATAATGCTTGCGACAAGATCCTCCTCACTCGCCACGAATATTTCTTACACAGACTCTTCAGGTAACCCCAAAGAAAGAAATCTAAACAGAGCAAGACCGGCTAACGTGCAGGACAATGTGTACGACCACTACGATCAACCTTATATCCATATGAACAGGCATGAGGTATGGATCAATCAGGTGGTCGTCAATAAGGTCTGTCTAGGCACTGATGGAAGATTGGTGTCGTGCTGGTTGTACTCGAATACTCCTCGGGTTGTCCATTACCTATATACGCGTGTTATGTGCGTTTTAGCAGACTTCTCTGCTAAAATACGCAGCGTAACTTAACAGGACAGCAGATGGAAAATTGGGTTGTATCACCCATTTCTGCTTGTACCATTCAGCAAATGCAAGTCGCGGTGCAGGACGCACTTGCCTCACGCGTCTGTCGTATATGGATACAGGTGTTTCGAAGACAGGATTCTCCAAATGATGGTTTGGGAAATAGCGAGTTTTGTAGCGATCGCTCGTGTGCTGAGTTGTGAAGTCCTTTCTGCATAACACAGCATCATGTCTTAGGGAATGTGACTATTCGCAGTGGGCATTTCGCCGTGGCTGTTTCGTCGTCGGGACGTTTCGCCGTCGGGACGTTTCGCCGCCAAGAGATATATTTCTTTACATAACTGTATTATATCTTGACATATTATTTTAAGTTGATTTAAACTAATAACTCTGTTCGGTTTAATAATTTAATTTAATTTGATGAACATTTTATGTAAAATAATATATATAATGTCTTTGTGTACAGTTTTATACAAATACACCGTTATACATGACATATTAATATTAAGGGAGTAAGGTGCTGACAGATTCCAAAGTAATTTCGTTTTACATTCAGATTTCATAAAAATGTGAATTTCCTGCTGGTATGGGTGATTTCTCTGAACTAGCCGATTTTGACGAATCATATAAATATTGTACCCGCATAATTTTAAAATCGATAATATAACTTCTGTTATGTCAGAAGTTTAGCTCCAGTTCTCGTTGACATAATTTTCCAGCTATGTGTAATTTCTTTATGTCTCATACTTGTAAATAACTATATATATTAAAAGCAACCTTTGTTAAGTATACAAATGGTAAAAAATAATCAGAATTAATAAACTAAATAAATTTAATACGCGTATAATACGGCAAGATAAAACACAGTCATGTAAAGAAAAATATGTCTTGACAGCGAAACGTCCCAATTGCGAAATGGCTACGGTGAAATAGCGACGGCGAAAAGTTCTAGACCTCATCTCTTATACTTCTTGGGTGTCCGTGTCATTCGCTCCAGATTCCTCTGACTTGTCTCGGAAGATGCGCTATTTCACAGTCTTTGATGCATACCTTGGAAACATTTCTTGATTTGGCATCTGCTTATTCATGAACTGCTACAATGGCACAGGGGCTCGCCCATTGCAATCCGTCGCTTCATATCCTAAGTGCAATTTGCTAACTCGGACTGAACCTTTCATCCTGCTTTCACTACGGTTGATTGCCGAATACTGAATATTAGAATTAACAATATTCTTTTATCTGAAGAATTTTGGACTTTCTGCAGAATTTTAAAATCCTGAATAAATATAATTATGATTTGTTTGGGTAAAATAACCTTGCAAGATTCTTAACGCTCTGGAAGAAGTTACATTTCGTTAAAAGCAGTCCTTTGAATAATAAATACCATGTGTTTACTTAATTCTCTTTGCTTGTACTAGTTAAAATTTCTGCATTTTAATTTAAAGAGACTATTAATGTAACTTTAGCACAGAAAGTATTTCTAGAAATAATTTGAATTAGTCGTATTGCATTTCTCTAAATTTCTTTTATTACACCGTAAAATAATAAATTATTAAAAATAATATTCCTTACATTCGCTGTGCAATGCTTTTATTTTTCAAATTTCCCTATTATAACGCAACATAATTTTAAACGAATGGATTTGTATTGTAACGTATACTTCTGTTGTATAATGTTTAATAAAAACATCAAACAATGTCGCTGCAGTGTTGTAGCGTTTAAATGCATTCAATTAAGATGAAAAAAATCGCCTCTTGGGATTTTTCTTCACTTTTAGTTATCCAAAAACAAATTGCTTTTTTTTTTTTTTTTTTTTTTATTTCCCAACCATTTGAATCCCATAAGGACGAGCGTTGTCGTCCATTAACAGAAACTCAAGACCATCCGCGCCTTTGAACTAAATGAGCATTCTAAATCGAACATAGGGCTCTAAGATTTTCTCTGTACAACATATCAGCCAGAGAATTTGTGTCTTGTGTGTAAATGGGAAAAAACGCCTGTTTGGGCGTAGTATAAATATGAAAGATTTAAGATTTTTTTATTTTTTAACTTTTATTTTTTGGAAATTAAAGAAGACAACAAAGGCAGGCTTCGAGGACCCAATGGGGTCCGCGAACCATAGATTGAGAAACTATGAGATAGAATAATGAGGTTGCATTGCGGGAAAAAATTAATATTAACAAATGTACACTTGTGTAAGTGTACGTTTGCAGATGCGGGATGCAACTAGTAATTAAATGCACATAAATTAACAAATCATGAAATAGATCTGAAAGAATAATAATAACTTTAAATCAGTATTTTTTTTTTTTTTTTTTTTTTTTTTTTTTTTTTTTTTTTTGTTATGAAAGAAGAAAGAAGCATGTTTCAGTGATTTTATTTATTATTTAATAATTTACAATTTCGCCATCTATATCTGAACTGTATTAAAGCAGTCCTATTAAGAAAAGGTACTTAAAATCTCGTTGCAACAATCCTAGGCAGCAAATATATATTCTTTAGACATATATTCTTTAGAAGCTTCTGAAATACGGTTGTTAATCTGGGTTGGACTTTTGTGAAATTCATAGCCTATAAATAAATTAAAAAAGTGTTAAGCAAAAATAGTGATTTTAATTCAATTAAAAAGTATTTTAATTTACGATTCAAGAGAATATTACCTTCATCCGAGATAAACTTTGCGAGATAGCAAAAAGTATTCAATTTTTTATAGTAGATTTAGCTAAAATGATAATTTTAGAAGAAAAGTCTAGCAGGTACATTTGTTTAGAATTTATATTATGTAAATAATTTTAATAATATTTATTTATATAAATCTAACGATTGTATTTAGATGGATATTGTTTCACATTGGAGACTAAATAAAGTTAAATTTTTAATGAATGCTTTTAATTCTCTTAATTTTTAACTCAAAAGAAACTCAACTCCTGTGGAGGACGTCATATAAAATTCTTAATTTCAAACAGTATAAAAATTTAGCGAATCACGTATTTGCCAGTTTCATGAAAATGACTGCTCAAGAAAAATAATCTGCTTGGTAACAAAAAATTCCTAATCTTATGGTTTTTCCTACAGGGGACTCTACAACAAATGCATTTTTTTAATTTATGCAAATGGGCGACCAATGAAGTGCATGGGCTGTCTTTACTCCAGGGAATGCTAAAAAAACTTCTGCAGAAGAAAAAAAAAGAATGATGCCATGTCAGATCCCCTTGATGCAAAAAAACAAAAGAAAATACTGAATAGGTAGTTGTAGATAAAAGCTTCATAACAAAACAATCTTCATTCCTTTGTTTCTATGCTTTTTTTAATAGTTTGAGAGATATTGTTGAATTTAGTTTAATTTAGTTTTCCATTGATTTTATTTTCAATTTTACAAAGAATTTTAAATTAATATTTTCTTAGAAGTAAATAGAAGTCTGTCGCGTAGATAAAGGATTTAAATCTATCATATCGGACGCAGATTGAAGGAAGAAGATCGTACGTTGCAAATATTAAATAAAGGCCAGATGATTAAGATAAAATAACACGCCGAACAAGTATTAATTTAGAAGTCAAAAAGTTGTTTTCAAATAACTTGTATTAAGCACTAATTCAGAATTCAAACAACAAAAATCAGCGTTATATTTTTAAATTTTCACAGGACTAGTTTCGATGGTTTTACCGAACCATCACCTCAGCTGCCAAAGCACAAATGAACGAAATAAAATAGAGTGATTAGAAAAGATAAGAATGGCTGAACAGGAGTTAAACTACTGGCGCCATCTTTTGATGAAACGAGAACTAAAACATAATTTCCTTAAAGGCTGAAGGCAAAGATGGATTATCATTAGGGTCGTAAACTAGAACAGAAATATTTGTTGACTAGAAATGCCTCTAGAAAATTTAATTCACCAATGGAAAAAGGCCAGATGTTCTAGTTTAGAGTTATTACCTACCAACATGAATAGTCGGAAGTGTGGCGAAAACGCAGAGAAGGATATTACTTAAAAGAGGTTCCCTTTGAAGAGCAATTTTTAATAACTTGTAAGGTTCTGTTGTTTCTAACACCTTACTTCAATGTCCTACAGACCCAATTATACTGTAGAGCGGGTTATCACTTTAGTCTTAAGCAAATTACCACGTCATATGTAGGTAAAATAACCTTTTTACTTAAGTTTTAGATGAACAAATAGCACTACTTGTATTACAGACTAACCTCCGCTGCTTGCGAGTGTTTAACATAACGTAATATGAAATAATTTAAATGTAGATAACATAATAAGCTCAAAACGCTTAATGAAGAGTATTCAAATATTGGCTAGCAAGATACTAAAGCCGACATAACTTTGGTAGAGTTGTAAGTAACTGCAAGACGAGGCTGCCAGAAGAGCTAATTCTAAAGCACTCAACCTTCGGCTAGTACAAAACGGCTAATTTTGTGAGGACTATGAAAAGCAGAAGTTAAAGTAAAGTTAAAATCACAATAAATGGTTATTTAACATAAAATCCTCCAAGTTCAACAAATCTGAATTTTATATATATATATATATATTGTGTGAGTAAGTGTATCCTTACAGCGAGAATTTCAATTAAAAATTGGCAAGTAGACTGTAACAGCAAGGTAGTATACAATAGGCATAAAGGCAAATAGACTGTAACATGTAAGGAACCTCAAAAGATTTAAGTAAATCCCTAAAACATTGGTTCTTCTGTCGTGCATTCTTGAAGTAATTGACTGGCGGTTACATCACAAATAGTAAATATTTGGATTATCATCCTAATAAAATTAAACTTGTTCACACCTAAGGCATCACAGATAAGCAATAAAATTTGTATTTAACATATCTTATATCTGTAAAATTGGACGGCAAAAATTATCAATAGATCTAAAAAGAGTGGTCTTTGAGAAAAGATACTGTAACTGAAAAAGAAATCTTAGTTTAACAACATCTTGTGGAGAGACAAAATCATTTTGCCATCAATACACGTTAATGCCCAAGAATGAACGCAGGAAGCTGGCAGCCGTTGTTTTTAAGCGTGATTAATTTTCTTAATGATTACTTTTTATCTCAAAACCTTTACTAGCAACATAAACAGAAAATTCCTTTTAATGAAGCAAAATATATTCTTCAATTTCAATGATATTTAGAATATGAGACCCAAAGCTCAACATTTGCACAAACATTTAGATAGCTTTCCATTAAACTTTATTAATTTAAGTAATAAACATGCATTAGAAAGATTTCAGCGGAATCTCAAAATTCTTTAACATTTAAGTAGACGCAATGGTAAGCTATTCCTAAACCTATCATCAAAAATTCTGTTGGTAAATCTTACTCTAAGTGTTTCACAAACGAGACTTTTATGAATGGAATAACAGAGTTCGTGTTGAATTTGAGTTGCCATCAAGATATGAGATTTTAAATTTATTAAAATTTGATTGTATTTTATTACGTAATATACTCTTTTACAAAAAAAAAATCGAAGCACCAAGAAGGACTTTTGCGATAGTGACGAAATTTAGTATGCAAAAACATCTTGATCGAGCATGCAAATGATCAAAGTTTCAAGGCAAATGAACAAGAATTGCGATCATAACGCGGATTTCTAGTGCGCAATTCGCAAAGTATAAAGCCAGTAACAGAGGAGGAAAATTTACCTTTTTTGTTTCTGCCATTGTAATTCCGTAAAGAAGCAACTAAAGATGCGATTACGACGATATCGAAGACCTTACAGACAACGACTTCGAACGTGGTCGCATTCTAGAGTTGCGTGAAGCTGGGTGGTCATACCGAGGAATAGGCCGCCACCTGCAACGTAAAGACACTGTGGTACAAAGATGTTGGCAGCAATCGTTGCTACAAGGAAATTGTCGACGGAATGAAGGTTCTGGAATGCAAGGATCACAAATGCGAAGCAAGATAGGATGATTGTTCGCGAGCCCCGAACCGCCCCAACGGTATCATTGTCCACTATTTAACGCACTACAGCCACGTCTATACCTCCCGTGGTACAGGTGACAGGTGAGAGCAGGTCCGGACACCCGGACGGCTTACATAGACTAGTCGGGTATCGTCCGGATCCCGCAACTATCTGAAGCTACACTCCGAAAACAATACAAGGGCAAAATATAGATTTTTCTGCGTGTGAAATTAAACATTTCCTGGCTACATCGCATGCTAACACATTGCTACATATACTTGCTACAATATACATTTCATAATATGCATTGCGTTGATCATTTCACTGTACTTAAGGCACATTTACAACTCAATGCTACACTTAGTACACTATATATTCTTTGCAACATATTACGCTGAACATTATTCTTGACAATTCAACATAGATTCTGAACAATGTAATTGTTTAAAACTGACATAACTGGATTATATAGTACATAACTTCGTTATATAAGACAGACTTAAATAAATAACTTGATACAACAGATAAATAAAATAAGAGCTCTTAAATAAAGAGCAAAATTGCACATTACAAACAATTTACACATTTTGCACACAGAAATCCTCTTTGTTTACTTTGTGCTGTACTTATATTATACAAAATACAGATTTAAGAACACAGTACAGCCCATATTACTTTTGATTAAATAACATGTTAAAAGTTAACTGTGGCATAAATTTTGCTGTATTCTTAAAACATACCAAAAATAACTTTGTAATTAAACATTCTACTGGTTACATTGCACTTTAACATACTGCTATATATAAAACACTCAATACACTAAATTTTTATAATACATATTTACATTGAACACTGCACTATATTTAGGACACCTTACAAAACTCATTTCTACACTTAATGCACTGTGTGTAGTGGCTACATATTACATTGAACATTACTCTTGATTAAATAATATAGGCAGTGGTAGTAACTCTTTGTTAAATACAACATAATTCTTAATACAAAAAGCTTATAAAAAACACTGTTAGAAATACTCATTGAGGGAAAAAATTACAGGTTAAATTAATTGCAGTTATAAAATTACATGTGCTATATACATTAAATACCGTATTTACCATGCACTATACATTTCATAATATGCACGTTAACACATTGCTATATATAAATCACTCAATACACTAAAATTTACAGAATGCAAAATATTTACTACATATACTACTATAATATTACTACTATAATATTTATATTCTGTGCTCTTGAATACATTAAGTTGTAGTACTACAGTTATAATTATTATGCTTTCTGCGGCTCAAAGCATAGCTCTGCATGCTATGAGCACTTACGCATTTTACCAAGGTACTATACACAGTGTGTTGTACAATACATTATTCACAATACGCTGCACAATATTCTATTTATAAAATGCACATGCTTACAATATTGCACCCATGCATTAATATGCTCATTACAAATATACATACTTGAACTATTTACATTTGGATAATATTAAATCATATTTACATTACCTGTTTTTTTGTTCCCAGCCTAATGTTACACAGCCTAATGACTCAAGATGGGCTTCTTGCAGAGGCCACTGGAAACCAGTGTGCATTGATGCTTTGAATCTCTGTGCGAAATTTAAGTCTGTTATTGTGGGCTGCATAATTCTAGTCCTAATGCTTCAACGTTTGTTCATAATGCTTTTGAAGCTTCTTGAGATAGACCGGCTGCTTAGTGAAGAAGCGTTTATAAGCAATGTCAGTATCAGGAAGCCTCTTGTGCCATTATTCCGTGAGAGGGCAAGATGTAACGTAATGATCAGGTGTACCTACTTTATTACAGACACAATGATCAGTTGTTGATATTCCCCTTTGATAGAAATATTGGGGAAATGGTCCGTGGCCTGTAATGAAACGGGAAAGAAAGGGGCTGAGATGAGTCGATCTTGGGAAACTTCTATGGACAAAGTCATGGGTTCTACGGCCTTGCGATATAGAGTCTCATTCCTCTTGCCATTGTTGCGATTTAATGCGACAGACTCGCTTCAGATAAGATTTGGGAAGCGGGATCTGGACATCTTGCGCATCGATATTCTTTGCAGCTTCCTTTGCAAGAATGTCTGCATCCTCATTGCCTCTGTGGCCCGCGTGTGCTTTAATCCATAAAATCTGGATGTTGCAGTCATGCGCATTTTCTTTGAGCAGGCATTGTATATCTGCTATGATCGGTAATGGATGGAATGGATCAGGAAGAGCAAAGATTGCCGACTGACTATCTGAGAAAATGCAAACTTCTCGGTCAACAAACTTCATAGCTGCTGTTATAGCCTGGCGCAATGCTACTGCTTCAGCTTGGAATACCGATCTATTAAGTCCAATGTATCCTTTCCATGTTTCTAAGACTTTATCATGATAATGAGAAATAAAAGCGCAGCCTGCCTCTTCGTTGATTTTTGAGCCATCAGTGAATATGCTGATGGTATTTGCACCGCTTGTGTCTCTTACCCGTAAATCCTGATATATAGAGGTATGGGCACAAATGCCCAACCCATAACTAGCGGGATGAACTTTGAGCTGAGAATTTTTGTTCTCAAAGTCTGATGGTACAAATGTAGTTCCCCTAAATGAGGCTGACATCCTAAGAAGCATGACAGTAGAGACAGTTGCCTCTTGTAATGCGGCAATTGGCAGAGGAGTAAGTCCAGCTAGAACCGCTGCCGCTGCTGTGGCCGTTGTCCTGTATGTTTTCGTGATAGCAAGGACGAAAGGTCGTTGAATGCTATTAAGTAAATTCAATTTCCTCGCAGTCATGGGTAGGGCCCAAATAGCTGCCCCATACGAAACTATTTTTTCTGCTACCGTCTTGTAAATAGTCTTGAAGAAGTGCGGTCGTAATCCCCAATCTTTGCCCTGCATATTTTTAATTCTAGTTGCTATTCTTGTGGCTTTGACCCTTTGGGCTTGCAAGTGAGTAATCCAAGTGAGGTTTTCATCCAAGATGAGGCCAAGGAGTTTTAGCTCCTTGACCCTCTTGACCGTCACTCCTCTTAGCTTGATGCACGGGTTCCTTATGATGGTTTGTTTAGGCTTGTGAAATATAATGTATTTAGATTCCTTGGCCTCCCGTGGTCCACCATCTCACGGCGCTTGTCTGAGGCGGGGTTATGCTCACAGAGGCCTTTGACATGTTTGCCTTTGACCTCACAACATCGGCGGAGTCATCTGGTGTCGCAGCCGATCATCAGGGCTGCCATCAGACTAGCATCGTATAGTGTTCAGCGATGAATCCCGCTTCACTCTTGAAGCAGATGACCACCGTGTTCGTGTCTGGAAAGGAAGGGGCCTGCGGTCCCAATCAGCCTTATACAGACATAACATCTGGTGTGATGGTGTGGGGCGCTATTTCTTATGACAGCAAGTCATCTTTAGTCATCCTCCGTACAGCTTTAACAGCTCAAGGACATTTTGACACCAACCTGCGGCCGGCTGCAGTTCCCTTCATGGCACGTCATCCTGAAGCCTTTTTCCAACAAGATAATGCCAGACCACATATCGCTCGCATATCTCTGGACTGTCTCCGTGCGCTTGATACTCTTCCTTGGCCAGCAAGGTCAACAGACCTTTCATCAATTGAGCACTTCTGGGACATGGTTGGCCGCCAGATTCGGGCACAACAAAATATTGCAGATCTAGAGCGACAACTGATGAATGCCTGGCAGAATGTGCCTCTAACATTCGTTGCCTCGACGAATTCAAGCTTGCATTGCCGCCAGGGGTGATTCAACCAACTACTAATTTGAACACTCGATGATTGATTGTTGAGCCTTGAACAGATACTATGACATTGATTTTTTAATCATTTTATTATCTGTGTATGAGCTATACACATATTCTATTTCATCAAAAACAACCAAAAACAACCATCCTTCATGGTGCTTCGATGTTTTTTTTTTTTTTTTTTTTTTTTTTTTTTTTTTCAAAAGAGTGTATATTGAGTAATTAAACAAAATGTTAAATGCTCTTGAGAAAATACATAGAAACTTCTATTTATGTAAATTTTATTTATAGTTAATATTACATTAACCTCTGAAATTGAATATTACTTTAACCTTTGAATGCTGATATTAATGCGTATTAGTTACATCATTATTCACATTGCGTTACAAAACCATATATATGGTATACTGCACGTACTTCCGGATCAAATGCATGATAGTTTTACAATTATATCTGCAGTTATATTCAAAACTATATACAGATTCTAAGGTATAAATTTGCATGTTGACCTACAAATTATGAGAAAATAAAGCGGAAAAAGGGTCAAAATTCAAGCCTCTTACCATTAATACCGGTCTTATCTCCAGTAAGCTGAAAGGTAAGGTAAATAAATATTAGAAAATTTTGGGACTAAATAAATTCAAATAAATACTATTTAAAATAATGCATGTTTTCAATTTATTAATTTATTTTCAAACTATTTTCGACATTTATCGAATAAAAGTAATTAGCTTGTAAGGAATATTTTGAATTTATAACAGTTATTTTTATTTTTGAAACCTTTTCCTTTCAATTCTTGTTTTCCACTTACAAAACCCCTACCAGAATGAGTTTTTAGCATCGCGTTGAATGTAAATGAGGTAGAAGAAGTATTTAAGGAAGGTTCAGCTTACTTCATTTGGATAGTTTAGGAGTTCTTAGTGGCGCATGTTTGCCGTCTGGCGATTTCGCTATTATACCTACTACGCTCGGTCGTATTGTACGTGCCTGTTAATAAGCGCAGGTTGGGTTAAATTAAGGGCCAACTTACGTTAAATTAAGGGCCAACTACGTTTAGGTATTTGTATCCAGCTTCGGTTAAATCATTTAGATTAGAATTAGATGAGTTCCTTATTTTCCTATCTTAATTTGAAGCTCGAGTGAGGCTTTCCTGTTCGCTCGAGAAGAGGATGAATGTATTTTCTTTAAATGAATAAAAGGGTATTTAAAACCTTATTTGGACTTTTTCGTTAAATATTTAAACTCAGCAATAAGATAAACAGTTCAATAGGTTCCTCTACATTCAGCATAGACAAAGTTGCGAGGAACATTATAAGCTTTCATATCAAGGTATGTTTCATGCTTTTTATCTAAAATAATCATCGATGCTTGTAATGTTGCTACGGTCAGTATGATCTGATACATTGTTACGTTCTGTTTCGAATCACAGAGAAAACTTTAATATTTGCAAAAATGTGAAATAATTTCTTTAAAAGTTGAAGATAAAATTAATGTCAGGGAAATTATTGTGTAGTTGTTTTCTTTTTTTGTTGATAGAAGGCGCCAGCAGATTTGTTAATTTCCTTATTTAGAATTATCTTAATTTTCTAATCTGTTGTTATCGCCTTAGCACAGCCTTTTCCTTCGTCATTTTAACTCTTGCAGCTAAAGAAAGTTCTATTTAAACCTTCAAAATGAGGTGCTGCAAATTTATACAACTTATACTTGTTGCTTAATACCTCCAATATTTATTTTTCGCTGTGTTATTTTAGTTAATATATGTCTACTCATTCTTTCTCAGAATAACAATACAACATCGCTTGGGATCAGAATAAGGTTTTGCCTTCGAATACTGTATGTAGTTTAAGGCGTTTTGTACAGAGACATTATTCATATGAACAGTGGATTTTAGGACAACATTCTTTCTAAAATAAGATGTAATGAAATAAGTTATTTTTTGAGAATTTAATTCCTAACTAATAGATCATTTGCCTATTTTATAAAAATACCAACATATTCATGATACAAAGGGCTATTACTGTTGAACATGATCAATAGTGACTTTCGTTGTTGCCACTCATTTAAGATTCTTTGGATCATAGAACTTTTGATGATCTTCACTAAGAAGAATGAGCTTAAGTTTTACAGACATAACTTTACACAATGTTTGGACTCAAAAATATGTTCATATTTGGTTTAGACTATTTTCTGATTATTTTGGGACTACTTTCAGTCTATTGTTACTACCGTTTTCAAAAAATTTTCGTCTTCTCGACAGAAAACCAAGGCGGTCTTCGCCAGAAATACGGTTTTCTGTTGGGCAATACAAAAGTAGGCTTGTCACAAACTTCGCAGACATAGGCCGCTTATACCCATATCTTCAATAAGTACAGAAGATATGAATATAAATATAAAATAATATTCGAAATAAAACATAATTTTGCGATCTTCAAATATGTCATGAGTGGTGATTCGACTACTTTCCCACACAGCTGAATACACATTTTTAGAGCTTTCCTCAGTTTTGCTTACTTAGTCATTTAAACATTTTCGACATATTTTCAGACACCTTGAAAACGTTTGCACTATTCTTAAATTCGTGTGTGGATCATATAATGCTTCCCTTGTTTCTTCCTACAGATTTGCGTTAAGTCTCTGCTCAGGTACCTTAAAGCGTTTAGCAATATTTGATGTAAATACTCTGTTTACATTTTTCTCTAACGGTGAATGCGACGCCAAGTTACTTCACACGTTATTTTAAAGAATTTTCGTATAAGAGTGCATTAAGCTAGACTGCAACTTAAAAGTAGATGCGTAATCAATCTGTGTCTACGCTCCGAGTGTGTGGCACCATTGCGGATAATTGTTTTATCGCAACTCACACACTCATGTGTCGTTTTGACTATTAGACAATCTATAGATATTTTTACTATGCAGTGTTCCATTCTAATAATGCGGAATATATCACTAGAAGTAAACATTTGTAGGGCCTGACAAGTCTAGACGCTTGTCTCAATGTCTTGAGATAAACCTAGATTATAGAAGGAGTTATCGCTTTGGTGTGAATCAATGACCAAGTCGTAAGAAGGTTAAAATAACATTTTTATTTAAATCTTAAATAAAGATAATGCACTGTTTGTGCTTAGACGAACCTCCGCTAATCGCGGGCTTTTAGCATAGCATTAGGTGAAGTATAATTTCAGTCAATGTAGGTAGGTGAATTAATTTCAGCTTAGGTTATTTTGAGACTACACAAGAAACAGGCTAGCTAACCTGGCTCAAGATAATTAATGTCGCATATTTAAACTTCGGCTTGCTTGCAAGATAAGTTATTTTTTGTTACCCGAAAGTTACCCGAATTAACTTTTAGCTTTTAACTGTCAAAAGTCCTAACTGTAAACCGTTTTAAAACCTCGCCTTAAATACACAACAACTAATTTTCGTTCTGGTGAGGACTGCAAAGTTATAGTCATAATAACAGGTTAATTAACATAAAATGCTATACTCGCATTGCATTTAAAATGAAGGAACCTCCTACGGAAAGGTCGTATATATATGTGTATTATAAAAACAAATTTTAATAAGCAGCTTTAATAGCGAATTTCAAAAGTGAGTCTTTATGCTTATACTATTTCAACAAGTTACAAAAAGGAAAAGCAACAAACAATGTCGAAAGTAAAAAATATGAATATACAGTATATGTAAGCAAACTTGTAAGGATCTTAAGTTTTACTAACGTTTATTTTATTTTAAATCTTTACTATCACTTCTTATTTTCTACTTCCGGCCAGAATTAAAAGCGTTAACTTATTTATGCCAAAATTTGTCTGGCGAACGCCAATTACTTAAGTTGTGGCTTTTTGCCAAGCGAGAGAAAGGAAGGAGTTAGTCGAAGCAGGCCGCTTACCTTAGCAGTTTTACTCAGTTGCTGGTTGCCTTCCAGGCCAGAGGTTTAATCCTCGTGATAATTTTTAAACGTATTGTAGTGTTAACAGTTCTCTGTACTACATACGGCTTCCTGTTAATATAAGGCCAATCTTCCAAGTTTATTATTCCAAAGTTAAGTTAGAATTTAGTTAATATTTTTATATTCTTACGTTCAGACCACAAGTAGTGGGTCTTTGTATTCCGAAGTACGGAAATTATTGTAAAGAGTGAAAAATAAAGGGTTTCGTATACCCTTCCTGTGTATCTTGTCTACTTCCCACATTTATTGAAGATAGCTTTAGTAAGCTTCCTGTTCCGAGTCAGGTCTGTGCATGTTCCCAAAGAAAGTAAGACGGAACATTGAACCTGATAAACTCGCATGAACATACAAATCCTACAGGTAGCAGAATGTCTACGTACGCATGTACATCAAGAATATCATGCCTATTAAATTATATGATACCTATGCAATCTTTTTCAAAATTATTTTTTAAATACATTTATGAACATTTCATTTTAGTTTGCTCTTTATGTTTTTCTGGATGACTGAATGTCTGATATGGCATTAATATAATAGAATTCATGTTTTAAATTCGAGAAAAAACTATTGTTTCGAAACAGCATTATTAATAAAAATAGTATTAGATGCTTTGGAGCTCTATATGAATCAATCTCCACTGCAAGATCTGGAAATTTCTATGCCTTATTAAACAATTTATTTAACTTCTTTTAAGTCAGACAAGCTTTATCTTCTTCATTGAAGCATAGTGACAATGATTCAAATATTTGACTCTTGAAGTTTTTGATATTTTAAAACTGTTTAGCTGTGCCGTTCGAGCTAGGTGAAAGAGCCTGAAATAAAAGGGGTTAACACATTAGCAAGTGCGAAACGCTTTATTGCTACTAGAGAAAGTTGGCACATTGAGAAAATTCACAGTAATACGACAATAAAATGCAAGAATATACATAAATATACAATAAGCAATAACTATAGATTCAATACAGCAGATCCAATAAAAAGCTGATTACATGTTATAAATATTCAAGATAGCCATAGGTCTGTTTAAATTGGACACATTGCTTTTACGGTCGTTTGGTGTTTAAGTTTCAATTCTTCATAAGTATTTTCTCGATTAATTCTTTTCCGCTTCTTCTTTCATACCTGAGAACCTTTCGCCGCGAAACGATTTTGAAATTTGTTTGATTTCTTTAGCATCATTCCCAATCAATGGAAAGCCTTTAAAATTGCAGATAACTTCTGGCCATATCTGATGTCAGCAAGTTTTCAGTGATGGGGAAGCCATGTATGAACGGAACTCTAGCTTGGAGCAAATTAATGAAAACAAGTAAGATATCACATATATTCGAAATCCCTTCCGGAAAATACACGTTCGGCAAAGGTTTACTGTACTAAAAAATCATTTTGGAAAGTTTGTAATAAAAGCATTCTGCCCTTGCCCATCAGTGGCCGAGCTCTAAAAGCTACTGAATACGCGTAGTGCGGTTCTAAGTTTAGACACATGGCAAACGGGTTAACTAAATGGACTTTTCATGTTTTTTTTTTTTTTTTTCATGTCTAACTTGGATACGAGCTAGTTTCCCTTAAAAGGTTGTAGAGACATTTTTTTAAAAGCAGGCAAGATAAAAAATTAGCAACGCCTTCGCCTGGAATCGAACCACAGACCTCTGGAATACCGACCCAGCGCGCAAAACCACTACACCACAAAAGGAAAGTGGGAGAAATACCTTACAAGGTTCTCCACGGGGCATCTCTCACTTTCGTGCAGTGCTTAATGACGAACTGCGTAATAAAGTTCTGCCTTGGGGTCAATCGTTGACCATGGGTTTATAAAGTTCACTTAGCAAAGCGACGGTCGGTAATTTGTAGGCAAAGACATACTGCATTTTAAACATTTCTTGCTAACATGTAATGATCATATAAATTATATAAATGAATTATGTTATTTTTAAATAATATATTTTTTTTTCATTCCAGCATTTAAGTTAGAATGAAATCCTATGAACAAAAATATGCAATCGGCTTCCGAATATGTTGTTGGTAAATTGTCGTTAAGTTATGAGAAGGCAACCTTCCTAAATGTCATCGGGATTTTGCAATAAAATATTTCGGGTAAAGGGAAGCAAATAAACCAACAATTTTGCAGGGTTGATTGTACATTTTTACCCAATGGTTTTTATTACTAATCTTAAGATTTACCTACTGAGAGCACTATAGTCTCGTACTTACGCTATACCACATGTTGCATCTCTAACCATCATCAGGCCAAACTCCAACTAAAAAGGAATAACAGTTTGGTTAAAAAAAAGTTAGACGAACGAACAATATTTCAAAGCTGGTACCCAAGGGAGCGTTCACACGTTGGTCAAGCCGAGGCAAAAGGGCATTAGGATCATTCATATCTGTAGAACAGGATTTAAGCTTTATACAGTCAGCGAAAGTAAAGTTACGCATGTGCAAATGCATAGATGACTTAGAGGACTCGTCTCTCGAATGTTAGTTTGTGTTTGCTTCATTGAGAATGGTGAATTCTTACACCTGAATGGCATAAAGTACAACAGTTAGAAAACGTAGATAAAATCCTTATATCAGTTTCCCTAACGCAGCAAGGTCTGCTTGCCTAGCAACGTAGTTCGTCTTATGCCACTTGTGCCACAGCCTTCGTATGAACGCTACATTATTGCCAACTGTGTCAACAAATCATAAATATATTACATGTTTTATTACTGACTGCTTTAGAAATCGTACTTATCGCACTGCAAAACATCTCATAGTTTACAAGAAAATGTAAAATCTCGGTTCTGGGGAAAATCTGTTAAACAAAATTGGGACTTTGAATAAAATTATTTTCACTAATCTGATAAATTTTTATTTTCAAGATATCAAATTTATGTGTTTTTCCTACAAAACTGTATATTATAAAAAGAAATATCTGAGAAATATCAAAATTACCGGAAATCGGAAAATCAAATTTTTATTTATAATATTTATGTTCATATGTTCAGATCAATAATATTTCATGTAATTAAAGAACTTAAAACATGATCAATAATTGCTTTAAAAGAACAGAAATTTTTTTACTAGATGTAACTGAATGAAATGGAATAAATAGAATTAACGAAAACAAATTTAATAAAAGCAGAAAAAACATCGACGTGCTTCTTTTTCTCCTTTATCATTCTTCATTTGACTGATAATCTTAAAACAGTTGAAGAATATATTTTTTCCAAGAATATTTCAAACTATGAGAAAAATTACGATGAATATATTGCATAATAATGATAAACTGTACACCATTATTTATCGATTTTAAAGCACTTTAGTTCTAAGCATGAATTAAATTTAACTGTTAAAACATTCAGCTTCAGAATTTTAACACCTATCAAAAACGACTGAGCATAATTTTGTCTGTTAGATGAGACTGCATAAATATTTATGAAAAATAAAATAATTTCGCACTTCGAAAAATATTTAAAGCGCGTTAATTTGCATAAAAATTTATGCAAAACTTCTTCATTTCAGCATTTTTTTGTAAAAACTAATTAAATAAATACTATCAAATTCTGCAAAACTAAACATTGCGAAACATTTGCAATATAACCCATTTATGGAAAATTAAATTAGATACAACCTTTCAGAGTTCATGTTTTTAAAAAAGCTTCTGCTTTATTTTTTCCCTTTCGAAAAAAAAAATAGATGTTTTGAAATAAACAGTTCTCTCCATGATTGTGATTTTTCAAATTTCGAAAAACGAATCTCGAATACTACAAGAAAATTCAGGTAATATTTGAAATAATTTCTTGAGAAAGCAAATGTTAAGAAAACGCGAAAACTGCATTGCATATACACCTATAACGTTAACCAACAACTATAACACCTATAACGTTAACCTATATAACATAAAATGTTTAATATACAAAGAAGGATATTCTGAGGTAAAAACAAAAGCTCTGATATAAATTCAAATAATTTAATGTAACTTTATTCTTTCTAAACAAGATTTTAAAATAATTAAATAAATTATTTCTTATCTCTAATACCATATCCGAGTTTTGGTTAAATCATAGATTACCAACAGAAATTCTCAAAGAAGGGATTTCCGTAAGAAGTCCTCTGAAATGATATCTCCCCATTAGGCAAATAACCATTCAATATTTTGCCAGTTGATCAGTTAAACATCAAACAATCAATTAAATAAGCATACGCACTCAAAGCATTTGCACTTCTAAATATTTCTTGAACGATTTATCCTTGATCCATAGTGATTCAATTCGAGAAACGAATCCATTATGAATTATGCTTGTAGCATGTTTTCAGATTTCCCCAATAGAGTGTTAAATGAAGCCATACATTTTTCCTATTTTTTCAGTATTTTATCAGTTCACCATAACAGTGTTTTGTTTTCTTAAAAAGATGACCTATATAACCTTGTTGTCTTTTTAACTTTATTATTAAGCATCAGTTTAATACACTTAACTGTCACATAAATTTACACACTTAACTGTCACATAAATTTAAAGCAAAATTACGAAATCTTTTAAAGAAGCATTTCATTAGGAATATCTCTCCAGCTCTAATATTGCCATGCACTTTTTATCCCAGAAGGTGCATTACTCTCAAACCTCACTTTTATTTCAGATTCGTTTTGTTGTCACTTTCATTTTTGCAAGAACATGGCATTAACGCGGCCAGGCACCTAAGTGTTATTATGAAAAAGAAGAGACTGTATGATGTTTTTAATAAACCAAGTTATTTGTAGAATAATTTAACATATCCGGCTAATAATTAATAACAGAGATAAAAAAGTTGCATTTTTTGCTTTTAAATAGCTTAGTTTACTAATAAATAACTGACATATTACATTTTAAAAGAAACTGATGTGGGCATAACATGACTTTCGGCCTACTAAATTACACATATTTTTTGCTACACTTCATTTAAACTTATTTCTTCGACTTATCTAATTTAATTAACCGATCTCTCAAGGTAAGCCAAAAATGACATCAGAAATTGAAGATTTTGAAATTAAATATCTCGGTCAATTTTGTCGTACTTCTTTTATTTTCTGATAACGAGTACAAAACGTTCCCCAATATAATTATAAGAAGCGGGAGACCGCAATAGAAATTAGATTTCGTTATTTGGGCAAATTTTTTTTTTTTTAATTTCACATTCTTTAAACATGAATATTTTCATCTTTTATTATATTCTGTAAGGTTTTAATAGCGAAGTAGTAATCCAAAACATATCAAAGAAGAAGATATGCTATCGATGATTAAGATGTGAGAAACAACAGTTCGAATATATATATATATATATATCGCTCAATAAATTTCAAAATTTGAAATTTATTAATTATGAATTTCAATGTTTGGTCTTTGTGAAAAATTAGTTCTAAATTTTTTACTTTATATCTTTACTGATAATTTTTCAGCAGCTTAAATACTAGGCATATTTATATTTTGTTTTTAAAATTTGTTTTGTAATTATGGAATATTGGAAAAATGTATAATATGTTTATCTACTAAAAAAATGTACACATATTTTGGAAACCGTGCTCCTCGGCTTCCTAATAAAGTTATTGATAATGATATGATAGATATTTAGAAAAAATTTTATGAGAACTTTTGTAGGAGTGGAAATTTCCTGCACAAAGAACAAATGCAACTTATTTCAGAAAGTGTTTTTAAAATGATAGTACAAAAGTTTAAACATAGTATTTTAATACAATGGTATTTTATTCAGGAAGGTTTGATTTATAATTTTTCATATTATTGTAGTTCAATAGCTATTAAACATGAACAGTTAACTTTATTTTTCTGTGCCTTTGTTAACGAAAGCTATTTAATATCACTTTTTCCCAGCTCTGATATAACAGTAATATTTATATATTGATATTCTCTTCATTTATACGTAGACCGAAGAAACTGCGGATATTAGTCGAGTAGTCAAGGTAATACGAGTAAATAAGTAGAGATAATACATCAAATTATCACAGTCAGAATAAGTTTTATCTCAAAAGGCAAAAACCATTTGAACAAATAGGTAATTCATAATTTAAAAGCTTGTAAACACAAAAGGGACATATTCAGAATAAAAAATTTGAAGGTTTACATACAGAATTTTGTAACATACCGTTAGCATCAGCTATGTAGACTAAGTAAACGGTAAGCACGATTGCGTATGCAATACAGCTTAAGACCTGCATGATAAATAACAGAGGTTTTCCTCTTCCGTCTCCTTGAACTAGTAGAATATTTTCGTAGAAATGTTTAAACGAATGCTTACTCCTTTTATTACTACTGCTTATATATCAAGCGCCGGAAACTCCAGAGCTTTCCAACTACTGAAGTTGCGTCATAAAGAAGGGGAAAATAGTAATTCGTGCAGTCGAATTTTCGGAAATATAAAACTGAAAGAAGCCACCTGCATTCATGTAAAGTTAACGTTTATGATCTTAGAAACAGTATGTTTAAACACTGCAAAGAGTGCTCCTTAAAAGATTTGTTTGATTTGCCTTTAATAAATCTTTCTTCAGTTCTTTGAACAATGATGTAATTCTTGTGGAAAATATCGCACAAGAATTCATTATATTTTTATGGATGTTTAATAACCTCAGACGAAGCTGTAACTGTACAGATTTCATGATAAACCTGATTTTCGGTATCTTCGCAAACAAGTGCTAAACTTAAATGCTGTAAACGCTTTTTCTGATCAAAAATGAAATAAATAACGTACTACTCAGATATTATTTTGCAGAATTTCTTGATTTACTAAAGTTTGATCTACTGAAAAGAAATTTGTTTAAATTTTGCTCAATAAGTATGCGACTAACATATGCTTAGATTTTTTCAGAATTTGCTTAATAAAATGCATACTATATATTAGGATAAAAACAGTTTCTTGCTTAAATATTATAAGAAGCTGAATTAAAAGACATGAATTGAAATTAATAACCTTTAGCAGAAAGAGACATACAAGAAGTTTTGAAAACTCCTAGTAGGCTAATGATATTGAGAAGTTTAATTAATGTAACTGAGAATTAAATCAACTATAAATAGTATTTTTACTCTATAAATTTCAATTATTATAATTTTTCTGTTATTCTGTGTTCTGTTATGTGATCGAATTATTTGCAAATAATGTTGAACTCATATATAAGGTGAATTCAAAGTATACGGCAAATGCATCTTCGAGTTATTAGAATGCGATGATATATTAAACATACGAGGTGAGGCTAATACACAACGAGACCGCGCACCTTCTGTCGCGCATCCACATGGGGAGGGGAGAGGGAGGTTGGCATTCGAATGCAGTTGAAACACCAGTCATGCATCGTTTCGACCTTTTTGTCTGCTTTCGTTTGCTTTAGAGCCGTGCTTGTAGGATAGTAGTGATCACGGTGAACTTAAAAATCAAACAGCGCATTGACCTTAAAATCTTTGTAAAATTAGAAAAGTCGTTAACGCATTGTTTTTCATATGTTAAAGGATGTGTTTGGTAATAACACTATGTCACGTGCGCAAATTTCTGATAATGGCATAAACGGTTTTCAGGTGATCGGGAAGAGGTTAAAGATGATAAACGCCTCGGTCGATCTTCGAGTTAAAAATTTGAAGCAAACATTCAGTAAATTAATGAAATTGTGCGAAAAGATGAAGTCTGAACATTCGGGTGATCGCAGACATGGAGAACATTAACAAAGACACAGTAAGATAAATTTTGCATGATGAATGACAAAAGTTTGTGCAAAAAAGGTCTCGAAAAACCTCTTTCAGGAACAAAAACACAATCAGAAGAACATTTGCTGTGATGTCATGGAATGCCCAACGAAGAACCGGACTTGCTAACATGTGTTATCACATGTGATGAAGCATGCATCTTCCAGGACAACTGAGAATTGAAGCGTCAATCGATAACACTGGAAGACTCCCACATCGTCAAGAATGAAAACATGGTGAATGAGCAAGCCAAAACTGAAGGCAATGCTGATCTTTTTTTGTTACCGTGACTAGATGGGCGCCTGAAGACCAAACCGTTAGTCAGAATCAGAAATACTGCAAAGAAGACCTAATCAATCCGAGGGAAAGGCTAAGGAAGAAAATACCGGATTTGTGCAAGAACGCACATAGAATTCAGCATCAGTGTTACGCCCTACCCACAATGCCCGATCCGTGAAACAGTTTTTAGCAGACAAGCACATTCCTGTGCTCGATCATCCTCCGTATTCACCAGATATTGTATTCACCAAAGAAGTGTATTGTTTTGATCAAATCAGATAAATATTAAGAACGTAAAATAATAAATACGCAATGCACACACCACCAAGCCACCAAATTCAAATTCAGAGCTAGGCAAAGACTGAATTTACCTTATATTAAGCATATTCATTTTTCAGTCCTTCTTAATTCGTTTTACAGTTTTTCAGTCTAAAAATCTGCAAATATTTGTTTCTTTTATTTTAAGAACGGAAGAAGTGATAGTCAGAATGCTTTCTCTGATGACACAGTTTGCAGTTGATTTGAGAAGTTTAAGTGAGTAAATTCCAGCCTCCAAATTGATTACCTTCCTTTGTAAACAAGAATCTTTTAACCCTTTCGCCGTCCTCTCCTGCCCGCGAAAATTTCCCCCCAGCGGCCGTCTGTTTTTCGTAGCGTGCAATGTTGTTTTCTCTGTACATCATAACTTTCCATACATGACTTTCGTAGTGGATGAATGTCAATAAATATTAAGTAAAATTATAAGGAAATAAAGCATAATGGAAAAATAATAATATCTCTGCTTATTTCTAACAGCAGTGTAATTTGATAACATCTGATCCAGGCGGTCCACTCCTCCCATTTTGTTGTTGTAATCTTTTACAATTATTGTTTTTTTTTTTTTTTTTTTTTTTTTTTTTTTTTTTTTTTTTACAGTTCTTTTCCGTGTTCCAACATCAGTCATCGAGTTATTACGGACTGTACTCGTCAAACGTATATCCTTCTTGTCTTTCCTATTCACAACCTCATTTTCTCTCTTTTTCTGCTGAGTAGATGAAGCCATCTCTCACGTCTTGTATCTTATGTAAAATGGCGCGAATATTCAAAAACTCCGGGGCAAATTCAATTAGAAATAGAATGGGTGATTAGTGCTACACTCTAGGAGGTATTAGAACAAAAAAAACTCACACAATTAAACATTTAGAAAGCGTTTTAAACCATTAAAAGTTTTAAAATTTAGAAGAACGCTTGAGGCGCGTTACGGCCGCCCTGCGGAAGTTTCACTTGAACGCGCTAGACGCGTTACGGACGACGAAGAGGTAAAAGAAACTATTATTATCCTTCATCTATCGCTGAAAAATCTACATTACACTATTCCAGACCTAGACTATATATTCAAAACTAAAGTACATGACCATCTAAAGGAGACTAGGGTATGTAAGCCGTTATAATGTATGAGTATGCCATAAAAAGTTCATGGGGTAAGCCAAACGAATTTATTTTGGTAACATCCGAAGGAAGGTTGAATCCCTAAAATATATTGCTTTGTGTGTGGAGAGAGAAGAAATAAACTGTAGACTATGAATTTTCGTGACCAAATGAGACAAAAAATTTGGAAAAATCTTGTCCGCTAAAGAATTTTAACAACAGAAATCAAACTAAAGTTTCCAGAACTGACCAATCGTCATAATGTTGTCTTTCTCCATGAAAATTCTCGTTCCTATGTTTAAGTGAATCTCAAAGAAAGCTTCACTGAATGAAGCTGGGATACTCTGTGTAACCCTCCATACTCATCGTATTTTGCATTTTCAGATTATCGTCTCTTCGATTCATTTGAAAATTCTGTGAACAACCTAGAATTCAGTGTTGTTTGGAGGCTGTCAAACAGCACTTTGATAAAATCTTAGTGAATAAATTCATGAATTTATATAAAAAAAGGAATTTTCCATCTGCCGCAGAAATGGCAGAAGAACACGGAATAGAATGATGCTTATGTGATTAAATAAAATTCTCTTATGTTTTTATTCCTTCATTTAAATTTTTCACTAAAACCCTGCCGAATTTTCTGGATGTCCCAAAGGTTAAAAGCTTGTAAGGATCTTAAGTTTTACTAACGTTTATTTTATTTTAAATCTTTACTATCACTTCTTATTTTCTACTTCCGGCAAGAATTATAAGCGTTAAAGTATTTGTGCAAAGTTTGTCTGGCGAACGCCAAGTACTTAAATTGTGGGTTTTTGCCAAGCGAGAGAGAGGAAGCAGTTAGTCGAAGCAGGGCTTACCTTAAAAGTTTTACTCAGTTGCTGGTTGCCTTCCAGGCCAGAGGTTTAATCCTCTTGATAACTTTAAACGTATTGTATTGTTCACAGTTCTCTGTACTACATACGGCTTCCTGTTAATATAAGGCCAATCTTCCACGTTTATTATTTCAAAGTCAAATTAGAGTTTAGTTTTATTTTTATATTTTTATGTTTAGACCACAAGTAGTCGGTCTTTGTATTCCGAAGTACGGAAGTTATTGTAAATAGAGAAAAATAAAGGGTTTTGTATACCCTTCTTGTGTATCCTGTCTATACCACAGTTATTGAACATAGCTTTAGTAAGCTCTCTGTTCCGAGTCAGGTCCTTGCATGTTCCCGAAGAAAGTAAGACGGAACATTGAACCTGATAAGCTCATATGTAGTATTTAAATATTTCTAAAATTTATTTTGAGTTTAAAGTTGAAAAACTTTGAATAACCTAGGATTTGAAACTTCAAAATAGTGAGTAATAATGACTAAATTATTTTCAACTTTCTTTGACTATCATTTAAGCAATCGAATCAATATTTTAGTTTAAATGATAATAATCTCTTAGTTTCAAGTACTTCTCAAGTTTCATATTAAAAAACTTATTTCGAGAAAATTGATTACTAGGATGAACTAATTAAACTAGGAGCTTACTTATTTTTTGAATAATAAGGGGTCACGCGATATAAAAATTTTGATACAACTATTTGTTTGTTATATCAAATAGTAAATAAATTTGTTTCTGGTAAAGAACTTCTAAGAAAGAAAGTAGCTTTCTATAATATAACTTTCTGTAGTATAACTTGAACAAATACATAAAAGACAGGAAAAAAGACGAAATATATTGTGCAGTATTATTGAAAAACAACCATAATTTAAGGTGATATTGATTTTTTTCTTACCGCCAACGACACTTTTATAATAACACCATAAGAGTTCTACAGATATGTGAACTACAGGTGCCTTTATCATTAACTGCAATATTTACAGAATAAAACTATAATATTTACAAAGAAATCATTATA